AGAACCTTCCAGATCTGGAACAAGCAATTGTCTCAAAGTTCAGGGCTTGCGGTTGAGTCGCACAGGTCTTATGTATGGCTTAAGGATTTCTCTTCAGTGCTTAGAGAATTTACAGTTTAGCGGTTTAGGGTGCAGGGTTTCGGGGTTTAGGGTTTAGGGATTGGATGTATCCTTTCATGATGTTGGAAACATGAGATTCGTGGTCGTGCTTTCGTTCTCTGGACGCCTCCGAGCCTCACATTGCGATACACTGCAAAGGGGTAAATGATTGTGCAAATTCGCACGTTGGCCCCCTAACTGAACTGAAAGACCCGACGAACCCCGGGAAAGTCCCAAGACTTTGGATTCAAGTTCCGGGGAGCCCTACAACTCATGGGTTCCCCCCATACAAGCACCCCCAAGGTACCCTTAGACTATCCTTAATCAGCCCTAATCATCTTTGAATAACCCTGATTGAGGGGGGAACCTAGGCAGGGCTAGTATAAGGGAGGGTAGTAAGGGAATCCACAATAAACCCCGAAGTGGAACTGGGGACTGCGGCCTCTCACAAGTATCCTGGGGGATAGTTCCACCCTTCATGCACAAGCCCTTGCAAGAACAACTGACGAACTTCAAAGCCTAAACCCTAAAAGAGAAACCATCACCCTACTCAACTTCCAAACATGAAGAGGGCTGGATACAGATACATGACTACCTCAACTCCAATCACGTCGACTTGCCAAGTCTAGGATTCTTCGGCAAGGAAGATGACCCCTACTATGTCAAGCAGCCTGTGAATAAAAAAAACGGGTTCTTTCCCATCAACATCCCACACCGCCCAAAACCTGAAATCTGGTGCCCTCCACCAAGCAAGCTTAGAGCCCAGTAGAAGCCTCTTTCAGAAGGAAAGTATTGGGGGATGCATAATCAGCGCCCTGTCTCGACGTAGAGCTTAGCATAAAGATGCGCCCGCTGCCGCAGGTCAAGGGAATGGGAAATGCTGGTGCCTCAACAGTGCGTGGGGGTAGTTTGGGGCTGCAAGGGCAGGGACTATGGTTTCGGGCCTCTGGGCATATTGAACACCAGCTGAAACTCATGTTGCGGAGTTGCGAGCTGAAGGAAATACAAGTACAGACTCCAATGTTCGTCCGCATTGGGGACCCTATGACACGGTCAACATTGAAAGATGCAAAACAAAAAATGACTTTCTGAAAAACATGTGAGCCATGGTCCGAACCCATAGTATTGGCAACAGCATCCCCTTCAATAACCCCTATAGTCCTACCCTGTATACCCCCTACAGAACCCCGTAGCTAGACCCTAAACCTTAAGCCCTACACCCTAAAACCCTATATAATCCCCTATATAAACCCCCCCTTTCACGAGTTTCGACCCTGAACCCTAAACCCCAAACCTTACATAACCCCCTTTGAGGGGTTTAGATTACGACTCTTGTGCCAGCACAAGATGAGCAAATTGCTCCCTCTCCTGCTGTCTGCATATGAGTTTGAATCATTCTCGGGGTCTCCTTAAGGGTGCCTCTAAAGGGGGATATAGGGGGTACATAGGCTCATATAAGGCCCTTTCAAGGGGATATAGGGGTATATAGGGCTATGTAGGGCCCTTTAAGAGGGATATCGGGTTTATGCAGAATTATATAGGTTCCTTTCAAGGGGTATATAGGGGATCTATAGGGTTATATAGGGTGCAGGGTTCATGGTTTGGAGGTTCCCAACATTGGGGGGGGGGGACTTTTAAAAGTGGATTTTGGGGGGTTTTTAAGGTTATATAGGGTTTGGGGCTCAGAGTTTAGGGTTTCCCAAAATTGGGGGGGTCCTTTTACAAAGGATGGGGGTCCCAGTATTTATAGAAACTACCATCTTTGCTCATGTACCTACTGAAGGGATCCCTATGTGCTGGTTCTCTTGGTAACCCTACTATTGACAGCAGCTCATATACGCATCCCTTGACTAGCCGTAAGTTACCCCAGAGTAACCCTGAGCCCTGAAACTCCGAATCCTAAACTGCAGAACCCTCACCTTACACCGTCTGGTATTGTCCTCGTCTGCTCCCCACACATGCTATCCCTATGTCCCAGAATCAACATCCCTACATGTGGTAGGTTGTCAACAATATAGTCCCTTTTTGGGTCCCAATTATAATACGGCCCCTTTTCTTTAGGGTACGCAACAAAGGCCCACATTTTCACCGCCATATCCCTCTGTAGGAACAGAAACAAGTGGCAAAACTCATGCACATCCATCGCCACCAATTTCGAGAAACCGACGGAGAAAAGGTCACCTGTTCAACTGCAGGGAAGTGGCGAGAACTGGTAGTTTATAAAGACCCCAATCTACCATGTGGAGAGAAGCCCCCAACTGGTTAATGAAGGGGCTCTTTGGATCTTTTTTCTCACCGCTTCTCAGGGTCTGAGAGGATCAATTTGTTCTTGACAGTGTGAAATTCTCACCCAGCTTTCAGAACATTGGGATCTCAGAAATTGTAAGTTCGCTCTGGTCTTGCGTGCTTAGAGTTTGGAGAGATATGCGGGTAAAATCAGCAGGTTTTAGGGACCAATATGAATAACGTGCTTTTTCCTGTCGCTTCTTCTAAGAAATACCTTGACCAAGAAGAGAACATGATCTCACTCCATGTTGGGAACTGTAAAACCCCCGGATGAAATACTACATAGCCTACATAATCTCAGTGTTCATCTCATTGTTTAGTTAGTTTTCCATTTTCAGGGTTGTGAAACAACTACCCACTGGGTTGGAGGACGAGGGTGTAAGGCTCAGGGGGTGTAAGTTTAAGGTTTACGATGTCGGCTTTAGGCTGTAACCTTGTTTTGATGAGCCATGCTAAATCCACACCCTTGCTGGACAAGTAGCCTGTGTGAAGCCACTTCGTCCACAGCGCCATTTCTGAAATCCAACCTCGATCCTCGATTTCCTGAACAATGCTCTTTTTTTTTTTGCTTAGGGTTTAGGGCTAAGGCGCCGGCTGGAAATAACAAGCGGAAATGGCGCCCCAAAACACACCCCAGATTATGGGGGGGCATATGCGAGACCCTGAAATTCCCATCCCTCCCCTATCCCCACCAAATCACTGAAACAAACAGCCCTCCCTGGATCCCTCCCCAAAGCACAACTGGACTTAGGGTTTCTTAGCAATGGGTAGTGTGCCTTAGCAAAGGGATAGGAGGAGGGCCATGTTGTAGGGTTTAGGGGGGAGGGTTTTAAAAAGGGTTTAGGGCTTAGGTTGGGGTATATTGGGGTAATATTGGGATAATGGAAAGAAAATGCAAACTACTATAATGGGCTTAAATAGGGTTTAGGGTTCCTATATCTAGCGTTCATAGAGGACTTTCCATTGCTCCTTGCAGGAGCCCTCAACAAAATGAGCTAAAGTCTAAACTCCTAGTATGCCCCTTCATAACCCCTATAGTAGTCCCCTGTATGCTTGTATGTCAAAATTATGGTCCCTTTGTGGGTACCCTAAATATTAGGTGCCGTATTATACTAGGGATCCAAAAATGGACCATAACTTTGACAACCACCCATATAATCCCCTAAATAACCCGCTTCAAGGAGTTTAGATTATGGCTCAACATGACCCTAACGTCCTGCAGCCCATCCTGCGCATGAAGATAGCCTTGCACAGACTCACGCTTTGCTTGAGGCTAAGAGTTCATTGCTCCGGGTTTAGGGTTTTAGGGTTTAGGGTTTTCTAGGGTTCAGGGAGTTTACGTTTGGGGTTTTAGGGGTTTAGGGCCTAGGGCTTAGGGCTTTAGGCTTGATGCTTTGGAATTGGGACTGTGAGCTTCAGGTTTTGGATCGAGCGTTGGGTAGGATCAGATTTCCAGGGCGCGTTATGAGCCATACATGTGATTCTGATGCCAATGAGCGTCACGAGGTTCTTTGTAAGGATAGCAGAGACATAGAAGACCTCCCTGCCACTAAAGAAAGGTCCCCTTGTTCTGCTGTGGGACTGGACATTTCTTAGGCAAGAAATGGTTGCTCCATTGAGTAGGAAGAGAAAGCGAGAGAACACATCTCGTGAGTAAGCAGCTCGGAATATTCAAACCCCAAATCCTATATGAAACCTTTGAACTGAAAAGGCCCTGAGGCCCTAACGAGTCACTTTCATGTTTACTGTTCATTCAGATTACATTGCCCCCTGGCCCCAACATTCCACATCCCAATCCTCACAGGTATTCACCTCCCTCAAAGCCTCCTACCCCATAACAATTATTACCAACATAGTACCGACTTCTACCAGGGGAATCTCTGCTATTCGCGGCTCGGAGTGTTTCATGCTGTGTGGCGGGGACCAGCTAAACCCTACACACAAGTTAACATTACAACCCCCATCCAGCATAGGGAAGGCTCCAGGAGGCTGATATCTGGGGAGACAAAATACATGAAAATCCCGCTATGTCTTCAGATTTAAATCTGGCTATACACCGAAACAATGGGGCAGCACTGATTTCAGATACTTTTTCGAGGAACTTCTAGCCATTCGAACCAAGGGGCGAAGAGAGCCCTGTAGCGGGAACAACGCTGCGTCAGCCTCCTGAAACGTCGAGAAAAGCATGTCTGTATCACCTGGCCGGAGAAGCTGAAGCGGAAGCATGAAGGTTCCCAAAAAACAAGAAGTGCGTTCTTATGGGGGGGGATCTCTAGGCAGGATCACAGAAATGGAAATATTGGCGATGTCAAGCGTACCCATTTTCTGGAAATAACTACATCCCATATAAAAAAGTAAGGCAACAAACGATAGGGCTGGATTAGGAGGAGCTATTAAAGTGTCGATAGGCAGGACGGCAACAATACATAGTCTCCTGCAGAAGCTCATCCCCTTACATACACCAAAGCAGATTCTTTACAAGGAACAAGGCCCTATATAATCCTTATATAACCTATTCCCTTATTCCCTACTAACCCTCCTAAACCCTAAACCCTAATTTTGGGAAACCCCTATCAATGTGATCCCCTGCTAAGAACCATCAGAGATGGAACGGCCTGCATCGACGATATGCACTGCAGCACTGGCCAGCTTATGGAAGGCGCTGTCGCTGTATGAAATGAGGCTCTGTGAAACTTCAGCTAAGAAGGAAATCCTGGGTTGCTGTTAGGGAACTCAAATTACTGGGTTGCTGTTAGGGTTTGGGGCTTGGGGTTGGTTAGTCTAATAAGGAAACCCTTTTACTTCTATACATCCATAATATGGTGACTTAAACGAAGTTCCTTAAAAGCAACCCGGAATCTTCAAGATGCTGCTCTGATAGAGACGGAAGTTCAACTCCCCCTGCAGAGGCTTCGAGAGAAGTTGCAGGATGTGTGGATGATCGGCAATTTGAACTGCAAAGTTGTGGTAGGCATACTGCAAGAAGCGTGTTACGCGCCCGGCAAGGCTTCCAGCAATGCGCTTGTCTCGAAGATATTTTCGAAGTAGCCAGAACTGGTCAGTCTCCTCCACCTGAACAACGCTTCAGGTGTAGGGGTATGTATGCGGTTTAGGGATAGAATGGCAAATCAAAGGAAGAAGGACACGGAAAGGAGGTTTTCTTGAGGGTCTAGAGGAACGAATACCAATTTCACGTCAGGTGTAGGTTTGAAGATCTGTCCTCACCCCCGACGCCCTAACCCCTACTAAGGACCCTGACGAACTGACATGTAGAACGTTATGATCACCTTCAATATTCGCTGGACCCTAGCGAAACCCTAAACACCTCTAACCTGGAACTCCCAAGCCCTAAGCCCTAAACCCTGAACCCAAAACTAAACCCTAAGCCCCGAAACCCTCCATCGAGCTGAAATGATTGAAGATTGAAAGTTTAAGGTTTAGGCTTAAGCTTCGGGGTTGGCTCCGCGGGGCAGAGACGAGGTCTAATCGTGAACTGCAGCTTCGCTCAGGGCTTAGTAGATGTAAGGGTTAAGGTTCTATAGTCCCCCTTGAGTAGATAGAATATGGCTTCGGGAATCTTATAATAAGATCCCCATATACCCCATATTCTATCTACTTAAGGGGGACTTTAAGAGTTTAAGGTTCATGGTTACGGTTTAGGGCTCCAAGTGACATGTCTACCAGTAGCTGCTGCTCTGTGGGGTACAGATTTCGTGGGGGCCAGGGAGAATGGGCTAAGCATACTTCAATCGCCCCACGTGACATTAAACCTGACAAGGAACACTGCTGGTCGTGGTAGTTTCCTGAAATAGAGGGACCCCACTAGAGACCCGAAAACCTTATACTGCGTTTAAAGAGGATCCCCAAAAAGGAACTGCCTGATGTTGGGAGACCCACATGTGTTGAGCAACCCCACGGGCCACAGTTGGGGGTTTAGGGTTTAGGATTCAGGGGATTTAGTTACTTACCCTAAACCATAAACCCACAGGAGTGACCCTATCTGAGGAGGATCCTGCACAACCCCCTTCCTCCCCACGACAAGAAGCTTCCCTGGTCTAAAGTCAACCCTAAACCCTACACTCCCGGAAACTAACATGGAAACCCAAAAAAGGTCCTATAAAGACCAAACGAGATGGGTTTCCATGTTAGTTTGGGGGAGTGTAAACCCCAAACCCTCCATCTGTAAATCCCAAACATGGCAAAGCTCCAGGCCGAAGCCCAAACCCTAAATTCGTAGCTTCCAGTTGCTTTTCCATTATCCCTACAGAATCTCTATATAGCCCCAATATAACCCCATTATAGTAGTTTCCATTTTCTTTTTCATTATCCCTACATAACCCCTATATAACACCCAGTGCTCAAAATTTCCGGGCCAAGCTCCTTGGCCTCCAAAACCCACAACCTTCTTACACCAAGTATTCTCATGACTCACTTATGAGCACTGAAACTCAGGGTCAATATCCGGAATTCCGTTTCAAGAGTCGAGCATATTCTAGAGACATCTGCGTGAGGTGCTTCAGTTTGGGAAACTACGCCTGTGCAGCAACAAGCGGAGACACTCCCTGAACCCCGAAAACCGTGGTGTCTAGCCCAACACATTTGGCAATTCAAATAATGATCCAGAATATGTCAGTTTTTGAACACTACATGCATAAAGGGCTGTGAAGGAGGATTCTTACTGTCTCGTGCGCTTTCTACGGGAACCGCCTTGGCTTTGTTGAGGCTGGTGATGAGGGAAGTCATCGAGCTGATCACAGTGGAAAAGGAGATAAGGGACACGAAGGCCACGACGACGGAGTACACCGACCTAGTTTTAGCAATCTGGTTTGAAGCAAGGTTTTTTTGGGGGGGAGGAGGTCTTAAAGACCTGTTGATGGAGGAAATCATGCACCACCTAGGGCCCCGAAAGTACTGTAAATCCTGGGACTTCAGGGACTTCAGATGGTGCAAGATTTCCTCCATCAACCTTTGTTCAGGCAGTAACACCCTTTGACTCACACGCTGAACCCTAAACCGAAATAGTGGCTTCTATTTTCTTTTCTCGTTATCGATACATCAACCTATGCATCGCTATACAATCCTGGTAACCCTTGTGTATCTCTATAATGCTTCCATAGAGGTCCAGTCGCTCGGCATAGGAGACTGCTTCAATCTCCTGGGTTGCTGCTAAGGCTCTTAATTTCAATTATCATGATCCGGGTATGTAGCAGATCAGAGGATTTCATTATTAAAGCACCTTAGTTGGAGTTCCTTAACAACAGCAACCTAGTCTCTGTCCCTCCAATTCCCAACTGCGAAAGGCTCCAGCGCATGGCTGTAGCATATTGGAAGGCCACGGGCTGATCGCGCATACCATGAACGTCCTAATGGCTTAGGTTTTGGGCTTTGGGTTTAGGTTTTTTGGGGTTTGGGATTTAGGTAGTTTGGGTCTTGGGCTTTGGGTTTAAGAATTCTTTCCAACATCTTGAAGGAAGTTTCCCAAGACTTGAGGCTCAAGGAACCCCAACCAGTCCTTATTTTAGATTACAGGGCGACTGCTTTTAAGAAATGCCACTGTTTTGAAAATCAACCATATTTTCCAACAACGTCCAGTTTCGAGCCATGAGCCCTCGCTGCTCAAGGAGCCGATTCCATGCCAGCAACATGCAACCACGTGCTCCTAAACCATTGCAGGGTTCAGGGTTTAGGGCAGGCCAAGCACAACAAAAAGAAGCTAGGCTATACTCTTTGCGAGACTCAGAAACCAGGAGGCTCCAATTCGCACTAGCCCTGTTAGAGCCTGAACACCAACTATGAGGGGCCCTATCCCTTGCTTTAGAGGTAGCCTCAAATGTCTAATTGGTAGTTTACCAAAATAGGGGGACCCCAAGATAGGCCCCAAAATACTATAATCCTTAATTATTATTGAGACCCCTCAAAAAGGTACCCCTAAGTTTGGGAAATCCCCAATTGGCCCAGGCTCCAGGAGGATGATGCAGAGAACGACAAGGCACAGGTTCCTGGGTTGCTGTTAAAGAAATTCATTTAAGTTCCTATATTGGGGAAACCTTATTATTTACCATATATACCCATTTTGGTAACTTAATTTAAGTTCCTTAACAGCAACCCAGGTTCAGTTGTATGCATGCCGAGCGCGACTTCAACTGATCACGAAGGACGATACTGACCTTAGCTGTCACCATTAATCCCAGTAGAACCCTAACATACTATGGTAGTTTCCATTTTCTTTTCCATTATTCCCTATACCCCAATATACCCTATATTCCCTATATAACCCACTATAATATGACCCCAGTATAACCCGGCCCTATATAAGCCTATATCTCCCTTCACCGGGACCTAGATCCTGAAGGTCAAACTTTTGGGTTCCCCCGTTTTTCCCTTCGCAAACCCAAAGAATTGAACTCCTAGAAGCCACGCTAAAGGAATCCCAGTGACATGAGTCAGCTTGCCTAAGCGGATAATACGAAGAAGCCTGACGAGTCGCAGGAATTTAGCTGCTTTCACCTCAGGGTTCTGTAAAAACCGGGATACATTTCAGATTCTAGGGATGCGTATAATTCATGTGTATATGTATATGGGTGGTTGTCAAAATTATGGTCCCTTTTTGGGTACCCTAAAAATTAGGTGCCGTATTATAATAGGGACCCAAAAAAGGACCATAATTTTGATAACCACCCATATATATATATATATGTATATACATATGTGGTTTCCTGCAAGTGTGTATCTTTTGAGGGGTCCCGAACATCAGGATTGTAATTTCTAAGGGTCTATGTTGGGTCCCTTATTTTGCAAAATCACTTTTGTAATTGAACCTTTTGTAATTGAAGGGTGCAAGTTAAGTGTAAGGAGCGCAGGCGTATCGTAGGAGTTTTTTCCACTTGAGCCTCGCCCAAGCTGTCTGCGAAAGCAAATTCCAGCAGCGCGTCCGTAATCAAGATCGAGGCATCAATGCCGAACCAATTGCGGATGTAGTGGCGACGGATCTTTGGCAAGTCCATGACCAAGATACCCTGTTCAACAAAACCTGTAAAAAACGCCAACAGCATGTCCTGGGATAGTCTGAAAGGCCCTGCAAAAAACAACTGCTTACATAGGGAAAAGACGGGGATCAGTACTCATAATCATAAAACATCATTCCTGGACGTATCCCAGTGTCTGCAAACCAGAAAGCCATCTCAAGCCGGGAAGTCCACTCCAGCAACGTCTGAACCCCAGCCTCCAAATCAAACATTTGTAGTGGGATCATGATGATGTCCCAAATCAAGCAGAACACACCAATCATGTCCCAGATGTTCCTGAACATCCCGGAAGGGGTCAAAATGCAGGCACAGGGCTGTTGGCCCTTAGCACGTGCGACCGTATAGGCATTCGTTGACTGGACGCTGGCAATGCTCTTCAGGCGCACAGTCGGAGGCTTCTCTACCCAGCAAGCATGGGGCTCCAAATGTTCATGCGCGGCCTGCAACTCGCTCAACAAATCCACTGAACCGCTATCGATCTTGGGGTTTGCCTGGCCATGGCTGTTGGCACTGTGGATCTCGGATAGGTCAGCAGGCTTTTGGTCGATGGACTGTGATGTCTGTGACCGCAGCGCCATGGCTGGCAAAGCTGGGCCCATACTGAAACTGCTTGGTGGTTTCACTGAATGTGCCGATGCTATCAATTGCCCCACAATCCCGAATTCTTGCGTGCCGACCACATGACGCGGATCTGGTCGTGTGCCACGGCCTGAGGCAACTCCAAGGCGCACTCGCCGCAGGTCTGCTTCATAAGTCTCTGCCAAACCTGGATCCCATGTTTTTTTGGTTGCTAAACGACATGTAACAAGCATGACATCTTTGCTAACCTCGAACATCTAGACAATGTTGGACAATAGAAATGCTTGACAGACTTCCCAAGTGATCCCAGTGTCGCTTCAGTAGGTCGTGGAATGATTCAGGCTTGGCAACGCCGTGCCCGGACATGGCCCACAAGCACAAACTACGTGGAATTTGCGTACTACATGTTAGCAACGACCTAGGTAGCACGGGTAGACAGCAATGTGGACACGATGAATGTTCACGCACATGCTGATGTCAGAACACAATACAATGAAACATCCATCATGGGGTTGCATTACTTCCATCACTACAGCTCCTACAACAACTGCTGACACATGCAACGCTGGAGCTTCGAAGCAAGGTTTCTGTTTGTGCAAACTTGGGATTCAAGGTTGAACGAGGCAAATGCAATCGTACATTTTAATTTCAACCATGTATGTTGGGAGGCTCAGGCTCGTGACGCTGATGCTGCAATGATCTTTGCATAGAGGCCTCTACTTTCCAGAACTGAGGTTGCTGGCCCAATCTGACAGATGCATCGCAAAACCTGTTTAAAAAGACAGCTCCATGCATCTGGGATGTCAGAACCAGAGCAGATCCCACAAATACCAACAGAACCCAAACAACGAGGCCCCATTTGAGCTTGAAATCGGATTGGTCAACTCTCCTACTTCACGTAACTCACGTGCAGTCACTGTCTTGTCAAACTCTTCTGATAGAGGTGCCTGCACACATTGCTCTTGCACAGACATGCTGATGAACGCAAGCTACTGTATGCAACCACTCCCTTCAGAAGCATGAGCCAGTGCACAGGCAGCTCTTGTCTGCAGCATACGGCGGCAGAACGATTTGGACTTAAAAAAGCCCTCCAAAACAAGTGGGAAGTTCCAATGCCGCTGCAGGCCAGTGGACAGGCAAGGCAGCACCACAGGTCTGGCTGGAGCCTACGCTCACCAAGCTTACCCAACGCCAAGTCTGCCTTGCCTCTGACACCTAAAAGGCTTTTGAGGACGTCCTGCAGCTGGACGACGGGGGCGTGGACATCGAGGTCGAAGAAGTGAACCCTCGCATGCGAAATTCATGGACAGCGCAGAACCTGCGAGTCATGCACTTCCTGCTCGCTGAAAACGCAATTATGAGTAGCCTCGCTGCCTTCCGAACCCGTGTAAAACAAGACACCTGGGGCATCACTCCTCAACTCTTTCACCAGAAATATAGAGGCCTCCTAGAGGGCTGGTCGTTATCATCCAAATGTTGCTCCGTGCTTGCTAGTGTCTGCAGGGAATGGCAGGCCTGTATCCTGAGGCTCGTCGTAGGGGGTGCAGAGATTCGGATCACTTCAATGGAGGCCGTTGCGATGCAGAATGACCTGCATTACACATCTTATTGGGACACCACCGAGGGCCTGCACATCTCTTGCTCGGGAGCCGTCTGCCGCACTCTTGCGGAGAGCAGCTATAGGTCATCAGAAAAAAAGGGCCCATTGCATTTTGCCTGTTTCTTACCCGCATTTCCCTGATGTAGATAAGGGTTGGTATTGCAGTCGCAGCTTGCATTGCCTCAAGCACATAACGGCTGGTGCTAGGGGCCTAAGAGGACTCGCACCCGTTGCTTCGTAGTCAACAAAAAGCGAAGCCACCGATATGGCCAACTCATACACACATGGGCCCCTCCTACCATCCCGGTGGAGGTATGTGACGAAGGTCCCGGCACTCACCATGGAGATAGCCTGGGCCCGCATGCTGAGGACGTGCCCACGGACTATGGTGGAGGAGACCAGTTTCAGGACATCCGCTACCTCCGCAGTTGCACATGTTCAGTGGGTTTTCCAGGATTGGGCCGGAGTTTTTCGCCGGGAACAAACGGGTCTCCTGAGGATGTCCCACGGGCTGCAGGCGCAGCTTGTTCAGCTGACTACCACCGTGGGGCGTCTGGAAGGCCTGTTGACGCGACTGCCTACTTCAGGCTGGCGCTCGCAGGACCGCGGAAGCCCAAGAAGCCCAAGAAGTCCAAGAAGAGTAAGAAGGCAAAGAAGGCCAAGAAAGCCAAGAAGGCCAAAAAGCGGGCCAAGGCGGAGCCTCGGCAAGTGGCAATGAGCACAAAGCGGAGCAGGACCAGAAACGCCAACACACGTGTCGCCGTTAATCGCCATCGCAATGAATCTGGCCCGGCAGTGCTACGCAGCAATCATAGCCATAGCTCAGGAACCAACCTGGACAGCCGGAGCGAATACTCTGAGGTGGAAGTTGAAGATGAGTACTACCACCGCGACAATGCCCATCCGGTGAACCAGGTGCACGTGAGCCCACGCCGACCACCGCAACCTTACCGCCCACCGGAGTCTTGGTTCGTCACGCAAGCCAGGAGAAGTGCTGAGCCTATTGAGCAATTTTGGGATTAGGTCTCACACAGCCTGCGGACCACAAGCGGATAATCATTCCCGTTGCCTAGGTGAGACCGATTGCTAACAGTGCCCATGATCGACTCAAACTGTGGCTCAAGGCTCGGTCACTCATCACAGCACTACGACATATTTCCTGCGCAAACTTAGATCATGCCTCAGTTCAGCTTTAGCGGGCGGCATCCAAGAACTTCGGAGAGGGTAGGCCGTGAAGTGGGCAGGGGGCCAGTGGAGCACCCCCCACTGTAAGGCGGCGCGCAAATGTATCTGGATCAACTGCCTGAACCAGTAGGTACCGAACCAACGGAGCTCAGCTTGCATACCAACGACGAGGCGAGGCTGATTGAATGCAGGCTCTTGCGACAACTCAAATTGCGCCGGGCGGGCCCAAACTGGCCTACCGGTGCGCACAGCTGCCTTCTACTAGGGAGGCACATTTGCGCCGCCTCAGAAGAAATTAAACTCTGCCTTCCCTATCAACTGTACAGGGCGTACGAGATCCAAGTAATTCCGGCACAGAAAACAGGCGTGCCTGCTCCAGAAGTCATGGTACAAAAATTACGCATGCAGCGCACTGGACTATCCCTGCTACAAGGGCTGAAGGCAAAAGGAATCCCAGCATCTTTGAAGACCTGTCGTGGAAGTCGCTACGTGACCCTTGAAGTTTTCATGCTAGCGCCTCATTTGATAGCCAACCTGGCGGCAATTAGTCAGGCGACACGCCACGCTTTGTCAGCATGGTTAAAGGGGGAGCCCCACTTTAGATGGAGGGCCCTCCTCGCTGCAGCCTCGAATGTGACAGGCTGTATAAAACTTAGTTTCCGTGCTGAACACACAACAATTCAAGCCCACACAAATCGGGCCTGCTGTCTGCTTGATGTGCTCAGTCGATAGAGAACAGCAGCCACGAAAAGGCCCGGCGCATGAGTGAGGCGCGTCATGTACCCTCCTGAAACCAGACCCAAGCCAGGTTGCACTGTACTAACACTACTTAGCCAGGGTTATGGAGCTCCAGGCCACCTTACTTCAAGTAGCGCATAGTATCATGCCCAGGTATTTGCTGGTATCCGCCGCAGCCATTTGCATATACGTAGTCAGTCGCGGGACCCCTAGCTCAGCCCTGAACTAATAACACTCGCACTAGAATCACTAGAAGCAGCGACAGCTGCACAGGGTAGGCCCCCCTTTGCGACCCACTCTAGCGACATCATCGCACACTGGCAAATTCCTGCAACCAAGGGGTCATATGCCCATATGCCTTGCCCTGCATCATACACTAGAGTGAAGCAATCATGCGACGCAACCTACATCCGCCACAAAACCAATACGCACTTACTGCCCATGGCACTGTAGTACGTGACGGTCCTGCTACGGGACGGGGGCAAAGCGCCCTCTCCACCTGCAGGGCCGCAAGCATCACCTTGGAACGTGGATGTGAGTACAGCGAAACCGTTTGTTTTCACACTTGAGTGTGGCTTGAGCCAACACGTATTGTGTT